AAGGGGGGGGGGGGGGGGGGTGTGGAGTTTGTTCAGAAATTACCCAAAAGAAAATAAAATTATAGCTACAAATAATTAGAACTCTATTACACATTTCATGCTTACATTTTTCATGGCAAATCTCTACATATTTGTGCCTCTTATCCACAAATAGTTTCCAATTATCCATCATGATGTACTCACCAATGTTACTGACTTCAAAGTTGATTGTGTTTGGGGATTAAAGCATTCAATTGATGGATTGGTGATCACAGCATGAGACAATGTTTTTATCATTTCAAAGAGCTATTCATACTAATAGATTTTGCTAATCTTTGGGCTTAAATTCACTTGCTAGCAGTTCAATTAAGCGTCTCACAAAACCTTAAACTAATTTGGAAATTTTCCAAAAGCATTTTCAACTTTGTAATATCAGTGTATTTGATGAACAAATTTCCTTGAGATAATAAAATTACAGGTTACCTGAGTCACAGTTCCTGATGCTATTAGAGGAGCCAAACCACAATCGGAGACACGAATAGCAAGTTCATCATCAAGGAGAACATTGGCGGACTTGAAGTTCCTATGGATAATAGGTGGCTCACAGACCTCATGCAGATACCTTCATGATAAAAACACAATTTGATACTCCATGAGTATCCATAACAGAATATAATAAAAGCATGTTAGTTTTCAAGCTACACTCACAGACCCACCAAGTAGGAGTTGAGGAGGGAAGAGAATTAACAGAAGTACAGTGCCAGCATTTTACAGCCTACAAGTTCTGTTAAATCCACCTGACTATTATAACTTCAATATAGAACTAATGAGAGAGATTGATTCAGTTTAACATCTGTTCTCTCAAGTGTTAGTCGTGTTTAATATTACTATATTTTAACATCTAGAAAAATATGCTCTGAAGATAACTGTCATTCAGGAAGAGGGAAGCTAACATTGTTTAATGCAAAATTACTGGAGGGAAATTTTATTTGCTCGTGCTGACCAAAATCCAACTGAATTTTGTTTACATGTAGACATTAAGAACACAGAACCACAAGCTGTTAAGAAACTGTTGTATTCGTTTGACTTACTCTAAAGCCCTTGCAGCTCCAAGAGCCATTCTGACGCGGGTATTCCAAGATAAATTCTTCTTCAATTCATCATCAGAATTTAGAGCATCCTGCAATGTTCCATTACTGCAATACTCATAGATGAGAAGCCTTTGATCATGCTCTGCGCAGTAGCCCATGAGTTCAACCACATTAGCATGGCGAATTTTATCAAGACTGTTAACCAGCTCAAGAAACTGATCGTCCTTCTGCTGGTTGGCAACTTTTTTGTCCAATTTCTTGACAGCGAGCAACTACAGAAACATAAAAAAAAGACCAGATGTAAGAACAGAGTATACAAGCTTTCGGGCGCCCGAGTTAAAGATTGCTCGCCGGACAGAAAGAGGAATGTGCATGTGGGTAAACCTATGCACCGGGAACAATTCATGAACTAGAAATCTTGGCATTTCTTTGCAGCTAAGAAAACTGCTGGACTATTATACAGCTTCTAACGGAGCATTAACTGATATTTAAAAAGAACAAATACGGAAACTAAAGAGAAAGGTACTATAGGAAAATAAAATTCATATTATTCATGCCATGATAATTTATCGGAAGTCGTACCTTTCCATCAGGAAGCTGCGCCCTGTACACATTACCAATCATTCCTCCCCCAATAAGATTTTCTTCTGAAAAGCTATTGGTATATTGCTGAAGAGATGCAACTGTGTAAGCCTTCACAGAGGTTGCAGGAAGATGTCTAGTCAAAGATTCTGTTGCAGTTGCTTCAGCTGCTGCAATTGGCTTTACAATAACTTTCTCTGACAGTAGAACTGGTGGTGGAGGAGGCGGCGGCGGCGGCGGCGGTGGCCGCGGCGGCGGCATCAAATCTATTTCATATCTACTCATGTCTATCTCATGATGATTCGGCTTAGGTGCTCCACTCATCTTTTTGTTATTCACCCCATGCTCACTCCATGGTTTGGGAACCGAACCCACTGCTCTTTGTTGCTTCTCTTCATTTGGCCTCACAACTGCCACTATTGGAGCTGTTTACAGAATTAATACAATCGGTTGGACATGAAAAACAAGGATGCTAAATAAATTGTATGATCTACCAAGCACTGAGAAAAAGCCAAATAATACAAATTACCTTTCTCTTTGTCATTGCTAGGTTGTACCAAGGAACCACCATCTCTAGGATTCTCTCGGGTGCTTGTTAATGGAGCTATCTCATGCCGCTTTGGAGTTCCGTAAGCTTCTCGCCTTTTTTCGAGACATCTTGGAACAAAAAGCATGATTGCTAATACCAATACTATGAACAACAACACTGCTCCAATGGATATCCAAACTATCCTTTTTATCCTTGAAGATCTTCTTGACTTTACAGAATTTGATTCCTTTGTAGCAGAAGGTCCATCAGCCTGTTTTCCAGGTCTGCGTCCAGAAGTTGGTGGTGTTTGTTCAGTACTCGGTCCCAAGAAAAACGGTGGCGCTGGTGGTCGTGTTATAGTGGCAGCTGGTGGAGATAATGGAGCAATACTGGTGTTGAATGGATTCCCAGCTTGCCTGTATGTTACAAACTAAATTGAGTGAGCAGATGCATATAACAATGTGTACTTTTTCAGTGAAATAGAAAAAGGATACGACGGTATACATCACGTAGTTGCTTGGGTTCAAATGAGAAATGTAACATAGCCATAGACCGGCCTGCCTACTTCCCATCTCCTCCCAAACTGGGGAAAGAGAAGTGTTGGACAAATTGTTGTCAAACGACCCTCGGGCTATGATATAACTCGATGTAATTTTAAGTCGACATTGACCAATTAACTAAACTAAAACTCAACTCCTCAGAATGATACAACTCGACCTTAGAACCATTTGGGTCATTTGAAGCAATATAATTTTATTAGAGTTGCACATGGCCCACTTCCCAACTCCCTAGATGACTTATGGTATATTACCCACATAGTATCACTTGACCACCTATTGGGCTTGACCCATTGTTACACCCTAATCACCCCATTATATATGCTGCTTCCTTGGCCGTGTCTCTGCGTGTGTTATTGCATTGTTTCATCTCTTTGGTGAAAATGACGCTCCTCGATTTGTGCTCTCCTTCACTGTGCCTTTTTTCTCCTTCAATTTCATATGCCTGTGTGGCTTGGCTGCAATAACATCCCATTGTGGGTTCTAAGTGGGCATCCAAAGCAACTAGAGTTTTGGGTTCTTTGGTTCGATTTTGCAGTCCTATGCTTATTTGAGGTTTAGATTATTTTGGATTATACTAAGCCCAGAGAAACCTTGGTGATCCCTCATTCCGCAATAACATTTGGTATTAGAGCTTGGTTGGCGATCTGTCCGGCCAAAATCGACCCAAAACGAAGCCAGATCGCGCGATTCCTTCAAAGTCCTGAACCTGCAATCGCCAGTTTCGGCCAAACAGACACCAGCTCGAGAAACGGAGCATATACCCATACTCAGCAAATGGAGGCGCTCCTGCCTGCGATGATCGCAACGACGGCCTGGCGAGGATTCTGACGGAGTTTTCTTCATACAGGTTGCTCGTATTAATTTTCTGAATGTACTAATATCTTTAATTTCGTGTTTCAGGTTATACAGAAAATTTTGGACAGTTTACCATGGACGATCAGTCTGCGATCATTGGTACATTTGCTGAATCTTTAGGACGAATAGTGGTGGCCCTAAAGCAACAAGTTCGCATCTTTCGATTTTACTGACCTTCAAACGTTGTCTGCTCTGGTAAATTGGGATTGGCTTATCTCATTTAATTTCCCACACTAGCGAGTTATCATGTGGGGTGCCAATAGGATTGGGGTTACCGTGTGGGGTAATCATTGTCTGTGCTAAAAACTAGGAACAACTTGCCTTCTTTGACTGTTTCGTAATTGAGTTATTCATTAGATAAAATCAGCTTATTATCTCTGTGATATACTGTGTGAAACTGTTTAATTGACATCTTTTGTTGCACTGTTGATTCCATTAGAATACCTAGACCTTACCCGTTCAAACATTCCCTTGATCTAAGATTGATAATCTTACAAAACTCTAGTAATCTAGAACGGTGTATAACGTTTGCAACCCTAGGTCTACTTTGTGTGGTTTAATTGTGATTCTGTGCATTTTTTATTAATTCGTAAAAAATGACAACTCACAATTATGATTTGAGAATTTTTAACTAAAAATGTAATTTTTCAATCTGGCAACAAAAAATAAGACGTATTTTGGTTCAACAAAAGGTTTCATAAACCATTGATGGCAATTTTTTTGCTGATTTTTCAAAAGAACAAAAAGAAGAAATCGATAAGCTTGCTTACACTTCGGTCATTTTACACTTGTCTGCCGATGTTTTGAGAAAAGTGGATAAACTGAAAATCACTAAAAAACTCCGAAAAAAATTGGAAGACTTGTATTTGCTCAAATCTACTCTAAACAAGCTTTACTTTTTTCAGTTTTAAAATGGATCATTCAAAAAATCTTGATGGCAATTTAGACATGTTTAACAAACTTGTTCAAAATATTGTTCACTGTGAAAAGTCGGTGTCTAAAACCTACAAGACTATAATTTTGTTTAATTTCGTACATGATGCTTCTAAGGAAGTTGAGAATGTTATTAAGTACGGTAGGGACACTTTGACACCTGAAATTGTCATAGACTCATTTAGAAGTAAGGAAATGGAGATTAAAGCAAAAAACATGATAAGAAAGACGGTGAGATTCACGTTATGAGAGATAGAACTCAATTTAGGCAAAATAGTCATGATGGGTTCCAAAGTGGTGGCGAGTTAAGTAGTAATGGAGGTAAAAAGTAGGGCAAGGGTAGGTCTAGATAAAAATCTAGGATCAAGGTAAAAAAATGCTATGACTGTGGGAACGCGGGGCATTTTATAAAAGATTGCTATAAAAAGAAGGGTAAGCTAAAGGGTAAGGAAAGAGATGAAGTAAATGTGTTGTCTTCTGCTTCCAATATTGATGATGGTGAAATTTATATGATTACAAGTTCTGTTGCTTATCCTGCTGAATTGAATCTAACTACCAATTTTTGTTTGCATGAGTGGATACTTGATTCTGGTGCATCTTTTCATGTGACATCACAAAAGGACTGGTTTGAAAATTTGCATGAATCAAGTGATGGGTATATTATGCTACGTGACAATTCTACTGATACTGTTGTTGAAATTGGTAATATTACTTTGAAGTTTGACATTGGTTTTGCGTATGCTTTAAAAGATGTTAGATACACTCCTGTATTGTCTAAGAATTTAATTTCAGTAGGAAGACTTCACTGGTAAAATTGGCAATTGAGTTTTAAAATTGGTTAAGGGTGCACTTGTTTCCCTAAAGGGAATCAGGGAAATGATATTTATATCATAAGAGGTTTAGATTCATCTATGTCTTCTGCCAAGGCTGATCACACACATAAATAGCACAATAGACTAACACATGAGGGTATTAACAGATTTTTTCTTAATCAAAAAGATGTTTTTGGTAATGATTGTGTCTGATTTATCGTTATGTGATCACTGTGTGCTTGGTAAACATCATAGAACTTTTTTCTCCACGAGTGTTAGTAAAACTAAAGGCATGATTGAATATACGCATTTAGACTTGTGGGATCCTGTTTGTAATCCCACCTCGGGTGGAAATAGGTATTTCTTGTCTATCATTGATTGATGATTACACGAGAAAAGTATGGGTTTACCTTTTAAAGGATAAGTCTGATACTTTCCAAAGTTTTAATAATTGGAAAAGACAAATTGAGAACCAAATTAGCAAAAAGAACAAGTTTTTGAGAACTGATAATGGGATAGAGTTTTGTAACACTGAATTTGACAAGGTGCAAAGAAAATGGAATAAAATGCATAAGATTGTTCCTTATACTCCCTGGCAAAACATGGCAGCTAAAAGGATGACTAGAATCATACTTGATAAAGTGAGTTACATGATGTTATGTTCCGGTATCCTAAAGTCATTTTGGGGCGAAACCGTTATGACTGTTTGTTATTTGATTAATTTGACACCATCTGTTGCATTGAATCATGATACTCATGAAAATAGTTTGTAAACTAAGTGGTTATTTTGTGTTTATAACTTTTGGTTGTGCTGCATTTTCTCATCAGAGTGGGAAAACTTGAACCGAGAGCTAGAAAATGTATTTTTTAAGTTACCCTGAGGGTGTCAAGGGTTACATGTTATAGGATAAAAGCCAAAGATCATTGTGAGTAGAGATGTTACATTCAATGAGAGCGAAATGCCATGTTTGAAAGCTGAATCTGAACCTGTAAGTGAGGAAATACAAGGTGAAGAGAGTAGTCAGCTGAAGGTGGAGTTAGGGAAACCTAGCACATTCATTGGGAAAGCTTGAACCTAGAGCTAGGAAATGTGTTTTTCTAAGTTACCCCGAAGGTGTCAAGGGGTATAGGTTGTGGGATAGGAGCCAGAAATGAGTTAAAATCATTGTGAGTAGAGATGTTACATTCAATGAGGACGAAATGTGTGCCTTAAAACTGAGTCTGAACGTGTGAGTAAATAAGAACAAAGTAAAGAGAGAGATAAGTTGAAGGTGGAATTAGGAAAACTTAGTACATTTGTCCATGCTACTCCTAGTGAGGTAGAGACTCAGGTTCAGCAACCCGAGGTGGAGAACAGAGATAAAATAGCGATAGAAGAGCATCTTGTGGAATAGAATCCCTTCGTAGATTATGCCCCCGTTTGAAACCCATTTTTTTCTTATTCTCATTCTCATTTTTTCATTTCTTCATATCAACCACACATTCTATCAATAAAATAATACTATACATAAACTCAAAAATTTTCATTACTTTTCAACCACATATTCTTCAATCAATCACTATTCCAGAATTTATTTATTTTTCAAAATGGGTGTCAAACAGGGGCAACAATTTAGGCTAGAGAGAGAAAACACTCGAGAGCAACTAAAAGATTTGAATACGAGTCTGAGTTAGCTTTTGCCCATGCTAGCTATGAGGAGCTAGTTGATAGAGAGCCAAAAACCTTTGAAGAGGCGACGAAGAGTGAACAATCTGAAGAGTGGTTTAAGGCAATGAAAGAGGAGATGAGTTTCTTAAAAAATAATCAAACTTGGGAACTAATACCTAGACCTAAGAATAAATATACAGTAAACAGCAAGTTTTTAAGGTTAAGGAGGGTACTAGAGCATCCGAACCCTTAAAATTTAAATCTAAGTTAGTGGCCAAGGGGTACACGCAGAAGAATGGGGTTGATTATAGCGAGATTTTTTCACCCGTTGTTAAGTATTAGGGTCATGCTTGCATTGGTTGTACATTTTGACTGGAAACGTGAAAACTTCTCGTAAAAACTATTTTTTTACATGGTAAACTTGATGAGCAAATCTTTATGAATTAACTAAAAGGTTTTAAAGACAAACTAAAACCTGACCATGTGTTTTTTTTTTAAATCTTTATAAGGCCTAAAGCAATGACCTAGACAGTGGTATGAAAGATTTGATTCTTTTGTACTCACCATCGGGTTTCAAAGGAGTAAGTTTGATCATTGTCCGTATTTCCAATATGATGATACTAATAATGTCTGTATTTTTATTGTTATATGTGGATGATATGCTCTAAGTTGGTTCATCACCTAAGTGGATAAGTAAAATAAAAACAAAGTTGAATGGCAAATTATTGTTCAACGACCTCTCGGTCTATGATGTAACTTGGTGTAATATTCAGTCAGCATTAACCAATTGACGGAACTAAAAGTCAACTCCTCGGAATGATAAAACTCGACCTTAAAACCATTTAAGCCATTTGAAGCAATCTAATTTTATTAGAGTTGCTCATGGCTCATTTCCCGACTCTCTGGATGGCTTATGGTATATTACCCACTTAGTATCACTTGACCACCTATTGGGCTTGACCCATTGTTACACGCTAATCACACTATTATATACGTTGCTTCATTAGCCGTGTCGCTGAGTGTGTTATTGCATTGTTTCTTCTCTTTGGTGAAAACGACACTCCTTACTTTGTGCTCTCCTTCATTGTGCCTTTTTTCTCCTTCAATTTCATCTGCCTTTGTAGCTGCCTGTGTGGCTGCAATAACATCTCATTGTGTGTTCTAACTGGGCATCCAAAGCAATCGGAGGTTTGGGTTCTTCTTTGGTTCGGTTTTGCGGTCACAGCTTGTTTGAGGCTTTGACTGTTTTGGAATATACTGAGCTTAGAGAAGCCTTGGTGATCCCTCATTCCGCACTAACAAGAAGGTAAAGCGCTAAAAGGACAAGGCTAACCTGAACTAAAGTATGTACATGCAAAAAACAGGTATCACATTAAATTAAAAATAAAACACTTTTCTATCTCTTTTGCTATTTCTTTCTCCTCTATATTTCCTTTCCTCTCCATTTCTTTTACGAAATATGGCAGTAGAAAAAGTATAATTTGCCTCTGTTCGTGTTTCCTAAAAAGTTACTAATAATTTTTTTCTTATTCAGTAAAAGACAAACATTAACTTCAACCACACATTCATGACTACTACCCATTTATTATCTACACATTTCATGAGACCTACTATTATTCCTCCTAAAAAGTAATAATTTTAGACAAACATAGGCTTTCCATCATGAGATGTATTAACAAAGACGGTAGCATCCTCAAAGCATGCCTATAGAATGTGCGAAGTCGAATGGTTTAATCTAATTACATTGCCATTATCCTTTCTAGAGAAAGCAAATTAAAACTTTTTGATAGTCGAGTAAGCTGAAGTCAGAACATAAAAATTGATGAATAGTGAAAGCGACAAAAGTGTCAAATACAATTCCCAGAAGAAACTGGACAATAACAAAAAATAAAAAGAACCAGAAATCATGTATCCCTGGATCACTAGGACGAGCTTGAATAAGTTCTATAATCAAAGAAAATGATTCCTCGAACGCATCAACAGAAAACAATCAAATGGCAAGCATCAAATATATCCCTTTATAAACCAGTAAAACCTTGTTGCTTGTGTTCTCAGTGATCTATGTTAGATTGTTAACTGTAGGCATGAAGGCTTTCTTAGCAGCCAAAGTAAACAAAAACGTGCTCTGATACCATAAACTACAGCTTTGGTGAAGCATGAATTACACACTTTTATTCATTGGTAAAGCAGTACATATATAGAGTACTACAAGCCCAAGTATGGAAATAATACGTGCTCCAAATCAATGCTATAACAAACCTGTGACTCATATATGCAAGATAATATCAAGGACCTATTAAAGCCAATAACTATGGAGAGTGTCTTGGTCTATCACAAACAACCCTGCCTGCACTAAACTAAGAAGGCTGATTGCATTTAAATTGAAGATAAAATGTGCTCCTCTGCAGTCTAATTGCTTCAATGGTGGAGGATGTGCTTGTCCCCCACACACACACATCCTCATTGCTTTCTAAAATCACTTCAAGCTTCAAAGTTTCTTAGGTGTCAGTAAGAAATCATAACAAAATATGACATATATACGAATATAATCCATAAGTCATGCCAACTAAAAGCACAGGTTGATATGCAACCCACAGATCAACAATATAAAGATATAATAAGCAATGTGCATAATTAGCCTACAGAGTCCATGAGTCGTATAAAGCCTACATGGCTTCTGACAAAATTCAAAAGTAAAAGATTTAAATTTAATTAGAGATTTTAAACAGTGACACCCACCTAAAAGTGGGTATGCTCAACAACTTTGCCGGTATTGGTCCAGAAAACAGGTTGTTCTCTATATTTCTGTAGTTAAGAGAGAGAAAAGGGAGAGAAACTAATGGAGGTTGATTCAGAAAATAGAAATGATACATGAATAGATTATGGCTAAGAAGAGTACAAATCTCTTAAGGGAAGATCTTGTAAAACATCAAGAGCTCCAGAAAGCTGATTGTTCTGCAAATGACTGGAAATCAAGAAGTCAGCTTCATTTACATAGGCGAAATGAACATGACCAATCTAAATAAGTTGAATTACTTACAGTGTAGTAAGTGATGACGAGTTTCTTAGTGAAGGGGGCAACTGGCCGCTCAAATTGTTACTAGACAAATCCCTGTACAAAGACAAAATCCCACATAAGTTGTTGACAACATGATAACCTAATTGTGCGAAAAAAATGTGCTTTTTTTTCTTTTTAAAAAGGGATCATACAAATTGACCAAAGCGGTCAAGCCTTCAAATGAATCTGGAATTTCGCCAGTTAATTCGTTGTTGTTAAGAGACCTGAAACAAGCACCAAATGTAGTTCACAAAGACGCTAAAAATAGTCAAGAGGCACTCAGGGTACAAGACAGCGGATACAAAAACTTACAGAGCTGATAGTTGACTAATAGATGATAAAGAACTAGGTATACTTCCGGTAAGCTTGTTATCTGAAAGAAAACTGACAAAGGTAAAGAAAGACCATCATAATCTCGCTTTAGTAGGCATCTGAATAAGCGAAAGAGCCAAGGTACTTGCTGCAGGCAACTGTTTCTCAATTATATTTCAGTTACTTTCAACTTCAAGAAAATGATAGAACATACAAATTCTGTAATGTAGCAGGAAGCTCTGACGGAATGCTACCCCCAATAAGGTTGTTACTTAGTTGTCTGACACAAAATGATGGCAAAATTACTATTATCAGTGTGAAAAGATAAACTCATGCAAGCACATGACAATGCATGTACATTTGCACTCAGGTACAATGCAATAAGGATTGAAAGAGGTGTACTCACATTGATTTGATAGAAGAAAATGTTCCTAAGCTGTCACCCAATTCTCCATTCAAATTAGCCCCATTGAGTGTTCTATAAAATGATAATTTTTAGCATTAAATTTCAATAGAACATCCACAGGAAATCAATTCAAGGAAAAGTTCATACATTGAACTTATGGTTGTACCACCATCACACTGGACACCTTGCCAAGCTTCACCACATGGGTCTCCACCAGAAGCAACCCATCCCGGTAGAGCAGGTGATTCAAACGCAACATATAAGCTATTTAGTGCAGCAACTAAACCAGTGTCCAGACGAAAAATGTAAGCATCTTTTATATTGAAGGAGCGAATATAAACAAATAGATATGGCAAGCATGTTATACGCTATCTTACACTAGCTGGTTGAAACTGATTCCTCAACCTAACTAGAAAAGTGCAGTGCGGTTACTTTAAAAACATAAATTGCAATTATACAGAAGTTGAAAATATTATAAAATGTGCAGAAATTTTACTTAAATTTCACAGGCCAATATATATCTTTAAACTATCCAGAAAGACTGATATGTCTAAGAATCCAGGAAGTTGTGGCCTGCTTTACTCTGTTAATATAAAAATGATGCGAAAAATTTAGAAACTACCCTATCTTATTCTTTTAACACGTCCTATTTCCAGCAAACATCTTAATAGCTTTCTTTATTCGGACTTACCATCATTAGGATTGGTAACTCCATAAGAAAACCGAATTGCGAAAACGAAAATAAATCCCACCAAAATCTTCAAATTCAAGCAATTTTCTACGGATCTGTTCCCACCCATTGATCCAAAACAACGCCCTTTTTCTTTAATCTACTCTTTCTCTGTAAATATTATCTGCATCTCCCACATACAAAACACCCTCCAATCTGCAAAATGCAAGTGAGTAAAGTAATAAGAGATTAAAGAAAACAAAACTCACTCCCAAATCCGTATCTAATTAATTCCACAAACCACATAAAACCCCATGAATCACTGGTAATTAAACACCAAAATGCCCACAAATACATACTTAAAGCAAACATCTTGAGAAAGATTTAAGTAAAACATGAAAACAACCCATTAAAGTTTACCAAATTTGAAGTAAAGTAAGAAGCAAAAAATGGCGTTCAATAATGGAAATTGACCAAGACTCTCGACTCCATAAAAGCAGCGTAGTTAAGCCAAAATAGAAAGTAAAAGTTAGTAATTAGCAAGTGCATTAAGTACCGAATAATTCTCAAAGTTTGAAGAGTAGATCAAGAAAGAGAGTTAGAGAGAGAAAAAGGAAAGCCAGACCTTTACACTTAGCTGGAAAGCTGAAATTTTGGAAAGTTGCAGAAAGACGCTCAAACGCTGCTATACCTCTCTCTACTTTATCTCTCTAGAAAAGGAATCGCAATGTGAGAGTGAGTGGAGTCATACGTAGTAATTTTATAATAGACTTGGTCACGCTCCTTAATTTTCAACAATTAACAAATTTTTCACAATTGTCTTTTTAATATTATATAAAAAAAATAAACAATACAATTACAAAATATTATTTTATTTAAAAGATAATACTAATTTTTTTGTTAATAAGTAAAAATCAAACACTTTTCACTTAAAATTTCAAAAGTATCTAACTTTTCTTATTTGTTTATTCCAACACAATAAAAACTCTCTCGTTTGATTGCAATGGTGGAAAATAGGTGGAAAAAAAATGTTTTACTGGGAATTGAATTGTATAGAATTTGTTTTATTGGTAATTGTAATTAATTGTGTTTGATTGATATAATTTTCCACTTGGAAAATGTTGAAAGTTTGATATCCGTTTGACTTCGTTTTTTATGAAAATTGTTATTTAAAGTGATAATTTTTTCTACCATTGAGTTTAGAATTTGTTCTAATTACCAAAAAGTAAAAAAAAAAAATTTAATTAGAAAAATTTATCATACCGAATATCATTCGTTTAACTTTGTTTTACATTAAAATTGTCAATAAAAGTGAAAAAAAAAAAAATTACCACTGTGTCTAGATTTTTTTTCAATTCCCAAAAAAATAAAAAAAATAATTAAGAAAAAAAAAAGAACCTGGAAAATGAAAAACTAACCAACCCAAAAGAAAAGCAATTCCTTCCACGCACGGAAAACTGGCGTGTCGATGGGCTGGGGTAGAAACCAATTCTGATGAAAAATGGAGCCATCAAACACACCAAAAAACTAGAATTGCGAAAGTCTTTCCATTTTCTAGGGAAAATGACACATATCAAACACAACCTTACTTCAACGTCAAAATCTCAAAAATTGATCAAACACCGAACAAGAAAAAAATGTATATCTATCACTTCGAATTGATAAGTATATTTATATATGTTTAATTTTGTTTTCGTTAAATTAATATACATTTTTAATCGATAAATCTTATTTCGATTAACATTAAATAAAAATTAACGTATCATATTTTTTTTAAATATTAGCAAGAAAAAAGTTCGTCTGCATGTATATTAATGTCAATAATTCTGGCCAGTCTTAACATTCAGCTGTTTAACAACTTTAGGCAACTGACGGTTAATGATCATGTACTGAAATTTCAAAATGACATATTAATATAAATTACAAATGTATAATACTCACCTATCGTCAATAGGAGCTGCTAATTGTCTGCCGGATGGATAACCATCTGGCCAAGATGTTCGTCAATGATGCATCTATGGACAGCGTGTCTCCCATCTCCTTGTAAATTGGGTACCCAAGAGTGGCAGTCTCATATATCTAGATCTGCAACACGTACATTATTATATATAAATTAGGTATAAAAAAATATGTCAACGTTGATTATGTTGAACATTTACCAGCATTGTCAAGGACAACCTATAAGTATCATACTTAAATAAGGACACATTGGGCTTCAAGTGTGATCTGGTAAAGAAGTGTACGATGTCTTCGAAACATCTTCAACCCCACAGATAGTTGTTGAAGGCATCGATGTCGTCAACAACTTCCAAATGGAAAAGGTCTATCGCAATCTTCATGTGATGACACCTCAACATGCTCTCAATGATACGGATCAATCCTAACTTCAATCTATCCAATGTCGATCGTACTCCCTGTTTGCATCAATCAACTGCGATAGAAGCAGCGTCCCCTGTCTCCAAAAATAATTATCGTACAACCTATTGCTTCTTTGAGTACCGTTAATAGCTGTTTCTTCGCTCGTAATATTCAGTTCAGTCATTAGGACAAACTCAAACATAAAGAAAATAGCGACCGTGCCCCCGAAGTCGAAGTGGAGGGTATCGTCATCGACTGACCTAAGCAGTCGACACAGTAATGCATCAATTATTTGCCCGAAGTACTACACATCTCTTAACTGATACATGAGTCATAGAAAGAACTGGTGTAACATATCTTCGTGCTAATCATCCAACAAGTTCAATACCCCATTTGAAATTTTCTTGCAGTCTGGCTCAACTCTGAATCTAAATGATATTTCATCCTACAAAAATTCAAATAATAGAATATTCAACTAAAGATAACGGAATAAAGTATAATCTCACAAAATTAAACGAACCGAATTATAACTATTATACGCGATAAAATAAAAAGAATGTAAAAATTAAAGTGGAACAACAAAAAAATTCATGCAAAAAAGGAAAAAAAAAAAGAAAAAAAAATTATGATGAATTGAAAATGCTCAAGAATTTTTTTTTTTAAAAAATAATAATAAATTAAATCAAATATGAATTAATGACCAAAAATAAATGAAGGAGAGAAAATTATAATAAATAAATAAAGCAATAATATTATAAAGTATTTTAAATTGAAAAGGAAATTAAAATTTTAATAAGAAAAATACAGTTAAGGGATTTTTAAATTATTACTAAACAAATTATAAGGAAAAAAAAAAAATTAAACAAAAGGAAATTATGAAAATTAAATAAATAATATAAATATTATTTGATTAAAATGAAAAAATTGAATATTTGTTTAAAAAGAATTTTAAATTGAAAAAAAGTTGGTAATTTAGTTAAAAAGTATATTTAATTTGGTAAATTTCAATTTAAAATTCTTTATTTAATGTAAAAAAGATTAGAATTTCTTAATTTATAAATTTTAAAAAATATATGGGCCTGTTAACAACTGGCGTTTGGGCTACTTTTGTCGAAAATCGTCATTTCCAGCTAGACTGAGCTTTTGTTTTTACAAATTCAACACTTAAATCATTACTACACTCAGCAAATGTTTAACCCCCATCAAATTTTAATTCATTTTTTCCTCTTATCAACCACACATTTTTTCAATAAAATAATATTACACGCCATCAGGGCACATCTCAAAGTGGTAAAATGGGAAGGTAGACAAACCACGACTTTGCTTGAGGCTGTCGTGATAAGGGTTTGAATCCTGAAATATGGATTTAATCTTTGGGTAAGTACAATTGTACGAGTAGCTTTCCACCCTATACCCTTTGAGGCATAATCTGCTATTTACCTCTTCGCCAAGGCCAAGACCCAGGGAAGGGTAGGTGGGGGCCGCCTAGGATGCGGTTAATCCTTTAATAAAATAATATTACACATAAACTCAAAAGTTCTCCTTACTTTTTAACCACACATTTTTCAAAAAATACTATTTCAAAATCATTTTTTTTCTTCAAATAATGGAGTTCAAACAAGAGTTCAATAATCTATTTAAATAATGAAGAATAAACATTATAAATATCACAAATTTCACAAATTGCTCAAACATCATAAACGAAAAATCAATCTCATAATTAACAAAAAAAAACTTACCTTGTTGAAGATAATGTCGTCGATGACTAGGTTGTGTAATGGTCGGATTGTGAGGATGGTGACTTTGACTGGATTCCGACTGTTAGAGACCGTGTAAGAATTTTTTGCCCCTCAATTCTTATTTTTCATATGAGGGTAAAAACTGCTTTTCATAAATATATACTATTTTATACAATTAAATCTTTTTTTTCCACTGGTCAAAAGCAATTATGAAAATATTCCATGTATTTCCTCTATGTAGCTATTTGTTCAGACATAAGCAGTAGATCCCATGCACATTTTATTTTGTTACTTTAAAATTTTATTACGGGGACAAGATACGTGGCAAAAATTCGTTGGAAAATGAAAGAAGAGCATTTCTGGAATGTTATCTACGTTACTTTGTTAGTATCAATCGTGTTCGAATTTCTGATTTGCAAAGGAGTGAGGCCACTGGACAAAGTTGGTTTTAGGCATCAACATATAAAAGTTGGGTTTACAAATGGATGACTAAATTGAAAGTAAAATAAAAGTGGTAATTAAATTTAAATAAAATTAAAGTCTAGTTACCGTCAATAGAGAGTTGTTGTTCCTTAAAAGGGAAAGTGGTGTTCAATCTGGCTAAAGGCGCGTGAAACGAGGTGTTAATGAAGGTTTATTATTTGCAAATAATACTAGTCCGGGGTTGGATGAGTTTAAAGAATAAATTAAATTACAGTTGTCTAAGCCACGCAAGTCCAAGTCCACATACTTTTTTATAATTGAAAATTGTAAACGAAATTCAAGATTCTTTCATTGGTCTATTCCCACAGACATTGAAAATGTATTGGACAATCTTAAAAAAAGTTGAAAAGAGCATCTATCTATCTATCTATCTATGTATCCCGACGAAAAATAAATTTTTGAATGTAATTTTTTAACAAATTTGTTGCAATGCATCTATCTATCTATCCCGACGAAAAAATAAATTTTTGAATGTAATTTTTTAACAAATTTGTTGAAATTTCATTATTTTAGTGCGTGTCTGGTGGGGATTAAAATTAGACTTTTAGTA